AAAAAAAAAAAAAAAAAGAATTATGCTCATGTATGTTTTTACAAATGTCTTTCTCTCAAGCATATAGATACAGTCTCACACCCATAGAAATATAGGCACACGAATAAGGATATCTCTTTGTCTGCCTCCAATTCTACATCCTCAGTTTTGTTCTTTTTGTGTAGTCGTTCATCTTTTCTCATGACTTTAACTACTACCTTTATGAGAATGACTTTCAAGTCTTCATCTCTGACCTCACTTCAGTTTTAAACCTGGGTTTTTATTTGTCACCTCATCAGTTTGATCTGCATGTACTGTGGCTCCTTAAACTCAATGTGTCTGAAACCCCACCTTTCCAACTAAAAACAAACTACCAAACAAGGGCAACTCATCAACAATCTCTTTATCTGTTATTACTGTCTCCATTCTACCAACCACCCAGGCAATATTACTTGGAGTATTTCCCATAGTGTGTTCAGTGGAATACTAGGCCAACTAAGTTTGGGGCTATGTTAAACAGCAGGTGTCTTTATTCCATAGTTTCTCAGAGTCTTTGGTGTACAAATGTACATTTTTAGTCTAAGATGGGAGTGACTTTTATAGCCTTTTCAGAATCTCTTGGACTGGTATTCTATGAAACAGTGCTTGAAGAGTGCTACTTGACCTTAAAATGATTTTTGACTTTTCCCTCTTACCTTTTGATGCATACACACCAAAGTCTGTTCTTATAATTTCTCTTGAATCCATCCCCTCTTTTCTCTTCCTTCTGCCTGAACCTTAATCTAAACCCTTATCATCTAACACTTCTGTTAAAACCACATTTAAATTATGTCATTTCCATCCTTGACAGTCTTTCTGTGGCTCTCATTTTTCCACAAGTAATGTCCAGACATTTTGGATTGAGAGGCAAGGCCCTCTATGGGTTGGTCCTAACATTTTTTTTTTCAATATTATATAACACTGATGGCCTCCATTATATCCCCAGTTCTAGCCAGGTTGTTGTCTTCATTACTCCTCTAATTATCCCTTAATAAAAATACCTAGCATTTTAATAAATACTTTCCATTGTACAACACACTTTCCCATAATTACCAGTATTTTATTCTCACAGTACCCTGTGAATCAAGTAGTATTATTCCCAGTTTACAAGTGAAGGGATTGAGGCCCAGAGATGAAGCTGGAATTTGATGATACCATGAATGCAACCTGGATCTTATGACTTCGGATTCAGTCTTGTTTAAATTTTTGCCTCCATGGGAGCCATGGACATTACCACCTACAAAAATTTTTATGGGCTGCTTCTTCTACATGCCTGTTCCCTTCCAATCTAAACTAATATCCTTTGAAAGCCTAGCACCAATCCCACTCTTTCTGTGGTCCCTGTCCTTTCTCACAGACCACTCACTTGTACAGTGATCACTTCTTTCTCAGGGCTCCTTTCTTGGAACTTCTAGATCACTTATTATCTGTGCCATTCAACGTCTTCATTTTTTTTTAATTTAAAAGATGACTGTGTAATGCTCATGTGCCAGGCCCTATAATAGGTGTTAAAAAGAAAATGGGACAAAATATTTATATGTAACCCTCTACTTTTTACTATGGAAAATTTCAAACTTACAGGAAAGTTGCAAGAATAGTAAAATAAATATATTTGCTTATACTTTATCTAAATTGCTAGTTGTCAATACTTTGTCATATTTGCATACCCACCCCTGCATGCGTGTGCACACGCACACACACACACACACACACACAGACATATATATGATTTTTTGATAAGCCATTTGAGAGTTACTTGCAGACATGAGTTAGTTTTTTAATCCAACTTACTTAGTCCATTGACTTTAAAGTCTTTTTCTGAACCTGGCCTCTGCCCCTTTTTCTCAGGGAATTCATTATCTGATGCGGGAGACAGATAACATAAGAAAGTAGTTACGGTACATTAAGATAGGTACTATACGTACTGTATGTATTTGAGATAACTACTAAGCTCTGTGGGAACACACAGAGGTGGGAATGTCTAAATTTCTCTGGAACAAGGCAAGGAAGACTTCACAGAGGAGTTGGGTTTTAAAGGATAATCGGGAAATGCTGGGTAGACTATGCTGTAGCTTAGTTTTTTAAACATATCTGTCCCATCTCCCTTGTCCTCATGTTCTACAAAACCTGATAGAAGTTCAATAAATAACTGATTGGACATATACTTGGGGGGAGAGAGAAAGAAATGCACAGATATGGTTATGTAGTTATATATTCTTATAAAGTCAGTTCACAGAGGTAGATAGATAGATAGATAGATAGATAGATAGATATCTTCAGGAAGAATAGGCAAAAGGGAAGGTCACTTGGTGTGGGTAGAAGCCCTGGTGTATGAATGTACATGTATAATTAATGTCATCTAGCACACCTGGATGTGTGGTAGATGGCGTTAATTATTTCCCCAAACACTTGGTTTGGGGAACACAAAATACACATACCTCCCATCATTTCTACCTCCCCATGCTTCCTACTAATTTTATCTTGCCTTGGAAGTTAGAACTTGAGGATAAAAATGTCTGATAATGGCCACTAGTTGAGATCCTCCACTGAGTCCTTGATTCCCCAGGTTTGCTGTTTAAAGAAAATTTAGTTGGAAGCAGTGGGGCTGGATGGTAAAGAGAGCTGATTGATTTGCAAGAGAAAAAGTGACTAAGGCAGTAAAATGGTGAAGAAGCCAATGAAGTGAGCCCACGATTCTTACAGAATAGTATAAATGCTGAGTTCTATATTGGTTGATTAGAGGCTATCAATATGTTTTTTTAATAAGTTCCTTTGGGGCATTGATTTAAAGACAAGACTATTCAAGCCCCTCCCTCTGTTTCTCATTCTAATTCATTGACTGTTAGAAAAGATAGAATATGGTAGAAACTTTGAGTATGTGGTGACATGCATCAGAACTGAATAGTTTCCCCACAGAAGAGGTTGCATTAAATACTTTCTGTAATAGGGTATATTAAAGAGATGGACTCTTTCATTAGGGTCAAAGTCATATAGATGTCTTCTTATAGGGGTTATAATAAGTTTCCTTGCTTTATAATAAATGTTTCAGGCTTTAAAATGTGACAAAATCATGCACTGCCTATTCTTTGTCTTTTAAAAATTTCTTCTTTTGATCTGTAAGGGGAGGGGACCATTTATAGACAGAAATTACTTAAGAAAGGGGACTCTCCCACAGAAACCATTTTTATTTTTATTTTTCCCTCAGTAAAAAGCTTCACAAAGAGTTGGAACTTAATAGGTACTTATCCTTATCATGACTATTGCTTGTAGTCCCATTTGAATATGTTTTGACAAAATAACAGAATCATGTGGCCTCCAAGTAGATTAGTTTTCAGAGGTGTCCTGAAGTTACCTCTGAGCCAGCATATCCTGGAGTAACCTGGCTGGATTTCTTTTGGACTGTGAAACAGAAAGTTTTTTAGAGAAATAGAGAAGCTCTTCAGTGCTATGTTCCTCCAAAACATATTGCCTACCCATGCCACAATTGATGGGCCCTTTAGTGTCATGTAGTATATAGTTGGTGATCAGAATTTTGAGATGTTATGATGGGAAAACAAACTACTTTAAATTGTCAATCCCTAGTAAGAGAAGTAGTGATGACTTGAAAAGAACTTATGACTTTTTTTCAAGGAAAAAGGGTTGAGTCATATGAACAAATCCCCTTCATATTCTTAATTGAAATTTACTTTATTCTTTAGGGGACATGTCCAGATAAATACTTCTGTGGACACTTGAAGATAAGTCTTGGCTAGTTTAGAAAATTTAAAAGCAGTGTTGTAGTGAAGTCTTTCTAGGCCATAGGATGTATTTTAGAGCATCCTCAGAGCCTTATGATTTTTAAGCTGACTTGCCCCTTTCTCGAGGTGGAATGTCCTCTAATAGTATGGTTGGCTTATTTTTACATAAACCTGTTGTAGCTTGGATGATTTTTTTGACTTGAAGGGATTATAAAGTATAGCTTTTGATTCCACTTTTAGCTGTAACCTGCTCTTCTGTGTATCTATAAAGTAAATGCCATGTAAATAGGAACACAGGATAAGGTTACTTGTTCTCAAAAGGTCATGTACCAACTGCAGTTGCTGAGTAAGTGTTCCTGTATCTAGGGATGTTTATAACTGTCTTGTTTCCATTTATTTCTGCAGAGTGTAGTGAAGCTGATGAGAGGACTGCTACACTGCATGATCAGACAGGTATGGTATTGGTAACACCCTCCTCTCTAATAAAAGCACATTGTAATCTCTACCCCTTAGGTAATGTTTATAGCTGATATTTTTTTCAGTTTCACAAATAGTACACATTAATTTTAGAAAATTTGGAAAATTAGAGAGGAAAAATGTCACCCATAATCTCACAACCTAATTACAACTGGAATGTTTCCTCCTAGTCTTTTTTCTCCCTCTACAAATGATTTTTACTGTGTTTCGTCATTACTATACATGCAATTGTGTATGTTGGGTAAAAAGATGATACAGATTTTAAAATGCTGATTTGCTCAGGCACTGGTGGCTCTTGCCTATAATCCCAGCATTCTGAGAGGCCAAGGTGGGTGGATTACTTGAGGCCAGGAGTTCAAGACCAGCCTGGGCAACGTGGCAAAATGTTGTCTCCACAAAAAATATAAAAATTAGCCGGGCATGGTGGTGCGCTCCTGTAGTCCCAGCTACTTGGGGATGGTGGGGTGAGGAGGGAGGATCACTTGAGCCCAGGAGGTCAAGGCTGCAAGGAGGTCAAGTGAGCCAAGATGGTACCACTGCACTCCAGCCTGGGTGGCAGAGTGAGACCCAGTCTCAAAAACAAATACACACACACACACACACACACACACACACACACACACACCGTCATTTGAAACCCTTGGGGCCATCAACTTTAGAATTTAAAGTTTTTCAGATTTTAAAAAGGCAGTACAGTGCATATGCCTGCCAACTTTAAAGTATATGATGTATGCTATATATATACCATACATTATTTTATGCCTTCTGTGGGTCTATGACAGCACTCTATAATCAGAAACATTAATATCTCTGTAGGGAAACATACATTTTCATACTAAGTGGAATAAAGACTTAATTTGAATCTGATGTTGCCAACAAATGAATTTTGATGCAAAACTTAGGTGAAAAACCTTTTCAAAGTGTTTTAGATCTTAGGATTGGAGATAAGAAACCTTGACTTTATATCTCCTTGCAGTAATTTGCATTTTCCTGACCTCCAGTGAAGTTTATGTATAGATTGAAAATTTGCATTCCCTCATGGATTGTCTGCTAAGTCCTTTGTCTGTCTTCTAGGTTCTTTTTTGCCTGTTGAAGAGTTCTTATACATTATAGACATTAGTCCTTTTTCATATGCATTGTGAATTTTTTAGCAGTCTATCATTTATTTTTGATGCTTGTTTGTGATATTTTTGCATACAAAAGTGTTTTTACTTAAAAAAATTGTTTTATCTTAAGAAATCTTAAAGTATATTACCCATATTGAATCTGACCTGATTTTTCTAGAGATCAATATTATGTTTTATTAGAAGAAGAAATTGAGGCCCAGATTGATAAAGTGACTGCCTACATGCACTGA